CTCCTCCGCTTCAGACTCGACGAGAGGGACAACAGGGCCAGCCTCCTCGGCGCTGGGGTCGACCACCCGACCATCGATTATCTCGTGGAAGGGCCCGATGTCGTCCTCGACCAAGGCAACACCAGAGTTCACCACTTTAAGCTGCGCGACAGCGCCATTGAAACCTGCGACGAAAGCGTCCAGACAGTCACCTTCCAGCACCCGTATCCTAGCGAGCAGATCAGCCCGGGTAACCATCTGCCTGTCTTCGTCGGTCTCATCATCAGCAGGACGAAGACCACCCTCCAGCTTCTCCGTGCAAACCTTCAGTGCCTGCACTTCCTCCTCAGCAGCCTTCATCCTCTCCTCGGTGCTATCCCCCCTCTTGCGCTCACGGGCGACCTCCCCCTGACTTTTCTCCAGCTCCTCGGTTAGCTGAGTCACCTTTCCCCGGTTCAGCTTCAGGTCCTCGACAGCCTTATTCAGACGAGACTGCGTGAAAGCAAGGTCCCCCTGCAGCTTGGACAGCTCGACGGCCGAGCAGCTTTCCTCGCTCAGAACCATCGCTGTAGTGAAGGTCTGCATCGGGGCAGCCAAGTCCTCCGTCAGGATCTGCCTCCGCGTAGCCCGGTCCGCGCTTAAGACCGCCTTCGCCTCCCCGGTAGGAATGTTGGGCGACCTGGCCCCATGAAAATAACCAGGGTGCTGATGGCAGGGCGCGATGGAGTAGCCCTCCTCGGTAGAATCCGCTGATAATTCGACCACGGCCTCCACCTCCTAGACTCTGGGTCTCTTCGGAGCCCCCTGCGATGTGGGCGACTGACTGCTGGAAGGTGAAGACGACGAACCCCGACCATCCTGATCAGCGGACGCCTGCCCGACTAGATGGGCAACCCGCGTCTTCGGAGGAACGGCAACCCTCGACGCGCGCAACTTCTTCACCCGTTCCTCGACGGAAGACATGTTCCCTGCAAAACAAAGAAAGTGAGTCAATAACAGATAAAGAGTACCAGATCATGAGGGGAGAGGCGTCCACCACCTAGATAGCGAAGGGCATCCGCCTCCGAGGGACACTTGAGAAGGGCCTTTGTATTAATCAACCTCCCTGTCTCGCGGACATTCCCCTGGCTGTCGAGGATGTACTGGCCATCGGGGGTCACCAGCTTCCACGACAGCAGGCTGCGCACGAACGAGACTATCTTCATATAGTCGGCCATGTCTTTTTCTTCAAGCGACCCCGCACACACTATGTACCGGTCTGTCCCCCGAGAGAAATACTCTAGGGACCACTCCACGTGCACCCGCGGCAACATGACGGCCTCTCGACTACCATTCACGATCCGCTCCCCTTCTGAATATAAAGAGCCAACCCCCGCATGCGTGATCGGGCTGACGATGAAGAAACGACCCTTGAAGTCCCGGACAGAGTCCATGTACGTTTTGAAAAGCCTGTCCGGTTGCTTGAACGACACCCAGCCGTGCCGGCCATTCACCGTCTGCCGCTGCAGATGGAAGATACGGAAGAATAGCGGCAGCGTGACACCGACCTGGAGATAACGGCACACGACCTCGAATTCCCGAATAAAAGCCAATGCATTCGGATGCAGCTGCGACGGGGCCAACCTCAGCTAATCGAAGAGGCCCAGGTGGAAGTCCGAGAATGGCAGCCTGAGCCTGGCCTCTTTGAAATAGAATTCGTACATCGGGAATCGCATTCTCTCTTACTTCGAGCAGATTCGGTGGCCCGCCCGAGGACGCTAAACTTGCCAATTCTGGGGGTCACCTTCTCGCCGGTCCTCCACAGTGGCATAGGCCCCCGTCGGGTCAGAAGCCAAGCAGGAAGGCGTGGATAAAGGTTCCTCAGCCACCCACTCCTCGAGGGGAAGGGCACGCTCGTCAAAGTGTGGAACGTCCGGTTCATTGTCCTCGACCATTGTCCCCGGGACAAACGTAGTCATTAACACCTGAAAAGCAGAAGGTAACGGTGAATTCGATGACAAAGATCAAATTTACCCTTCCACCGCAAGTCAAGTGAAAGGGCGACAAGGACAAACCAAGCATCGTCCCCGATGGCTCTACCCAAAACCTACCACCTCCCCAGGGAATCGGCATCACCTAACCTACAAGCTCTCCCTGGGGCATTCATCGGAATAGACGTCGCTCCCCGGGGCGTTCATCGGAATAAGCGTCTTTCTCTGGGGCATTTATCGAAACCAGCATCCGTCCCCGGGGTATTCATCGGAATTGGCGTTTCTCCTCGGAACACTCACCGTAAAACCCTAGAAAATCCTCCTACAACGGCGGAGATCCTCACCTCTCCTCAGGGCATTCAACATGCCCGACCACAGTCCTAAAACAAACGGGAAAAACGAAAGAAAGGAGAAAGGAAACTTACTATATTTCAATCTGCGGCGGAGTACGTGGCGGATGCTGCGACAGAGAGATCAGACGGCGGCAAGACGGCAAAGCAGAAAGTTTGAGAGCAAGAGGGCGAAAATTGGAGAATGAGCGGGGGCTCGCTTACTTATACCCCAGCACGGGACTCGAAGCGTCGCTAGGCACTCGAGTACCCTAGGGTAGCCGCCTTAGCAGCCACCCAGCGCATGACACGTGGCGAAGGCTGACAGTCGCGTCCCCTCAGGTCTCCCCACCGGTACGTGTCCTCAAGCCCGGACACCCGACGACGAGGAAGGACTTGCGGACTCACGAAACACGAGCCGGAGAGCTCTTCCTCCACGGGCATGTCTCTCCTCCTCGGCACAACGTCATCAAGTCCTCGCTCCCTCCCTCAGAGCTACGACTTTGGGGGCTCCTGTTCTGGCCTGGGCCCCAGCTTGGCCAGGCAGGCCCAGCCCAATAATATCCTGCCAAGCCCAGTCCAGCTTGGACCGCAGCCTCCGAGCACAAGGTCCCCAGCGGACAGGTAATTCCCCTCCGCAGGCAGAACCTGCCCCATCTGTGTCGAGCACAAGACTCTCCCGTCGACTAGACACTGCCCTCTCCGCGGGCATGACCTGCCCCTCCGCGGGCAGAACCCGCTCCCCTGTCGGGCAGGACAACGTGTCCTTCACACGTTCTCCACGTGCTCCCCTCCGCGGGGACACGTCACCAACCAACTGCCCACCTCCGAAATAGCAGGTCAAACCCACTTTCCGGAGATCACGGGACAGTTGGACCAGGGCGAAGACCACGTCCTGGTCTTCACTACGCCACATAAGCCCTAACAGTCACCTGGGTTGGGCCTGGCAATCCATCCCAACACAAGTGACCGTTGGCCCAGCGATGGGGTCTCTCTATAAATACCTTCTTTTACAAGAGGGTCAGATAATTCACTTCTTACCTCTTTTTCTGTGCTTGTGATCACTCTGCTCATACGCTTACTTTAGCATCGGAGTATCTTGCAAGTACACCCCTCCACTTCTTCAATACCGGTGAGCAGGCAACAAGTCGAAGACGCGTGGCAGCCAATAATCTGTTTCTGATCAAGTCAGATCAAGATGTAATATAATTTTTGATCTAATTCAATTTACAAATGGTGTGTTGTTTTTTTAGTCTGATACCATTCACAAAAATTCAAGTTAAAAAATTGGAAATTTTATAAAATAAAATAAAATATTAAAAAAACAATAATTTCACAACTGTTGTTCAATAAAATTACTATTATAAGCATAGTGCTATCCAGAATAATAAATGCCAAAAATGACGATGCTGAAATTGAACCCAAGGGACCTATGAAATACTCAAAGAAGCCAATCTAACTTCCCACAAGATCTCAAACTCTTTTAGAAATAGAACAGTCAAACAAAAGATGGTTTAAATCTTCATTCGATTGAAAATAAAAAACGTAGACCTCTTCATGATTCGAAAAACATAAACCTCTTTTTTTCAATTTATATTTCGTAGCTAACCTGTTCAAGAAAGTCCTCAAACCAAATGCTTTTATTCTAGCCGGAATTGACATCTTCCAAAGGTAACGGAAAGCTCGACATTCATCCTCCTCCAAATGATCTTTGAGCCTTGGCCTTCATGATGTGCTCATAACCTTCTTTTGCATAATAAATAGAATTCTCTACATTGCTCCATAACAATTTATCATCTGCTCCAACCATAGGAGTTAATGCAGACAAAAAAAGCAGAAGCTGCAGCAAACTTTGTAAAGAAGAGGACTGTTACTGTAGATGAAGATCAAAATCACCCCAACTCCAAATACCATTGTGCCAAAAGCCCATATTAGCGACAAATTCTCCTTTTGCCTTGCTATGTCACTACAAATCAGGGAAGCTATCCAAAATAGAACTCTCCCCACACCATTTAGCTGACCAAAAAGGAATGTGAGATGTGTCTTCAAGTTTATAAAAAAACCGAACCTGCAAAATCAAACTCCTAGTCAGTAGAAAAAGCTCCTATTTTTGCCAAATCCTTCCATCATGTTGATGTCGAAATTCTGCTGCTACAACTTTGGTCCGAAAGGATTTAATGTTCGCAATCTCCGTATTTAGGCTTGAGAACCTTCATCAAAACGACCTCTTTTTAAACTAAGATTCTCCGCTTTCATTTTGTGAGGAGAGCCACATTAAATTCTTCAATGCTCTTAATTCCAAAGTCTCAGGACTATTTAGATTTGCATTCCATCTAACCCAATAAATCTTCTATTTCTTATTGAGACTTGTACCAGATTAAATTATGTGAGAAGAATGTGAGAATCTATCAAAAATATATATTATGAACAGATTTGAGACACATATTTAATTACAATGACATATACTATAGTTTAGGACGGATGAATAACTAGAAGTCAAAGGTTGCTGCTCTCTTGATAAATTCATCATGATTTACATCAATATCTTTCAATTTTAAGAATACATCAAGAGAGGATAAACTTTTTTGGAAGAGAAAGATCCAGCAACTAACACCTCTCCAAGCATATATTTAATACTAATTACACCGTAATCTAACTTAGAGCTACCTCTCATTACTGTTAGTGGATCAATTGAAAACTTGTTCCATACAGTCTCCTCTAATCAATTGGGACCCCAACAACTCAAGTACATGACTGTCCTCAAAGATTCTTCTGATTGCTTTGCCTTTCTTTTTTGTCTATTAGTAGAAACCATAGCTGAAGAAGAAGAGGAGGAGGATGAAAGCTTATGTGCTTGAGAATAAGATCTGACATTGTTTTTAACATGATTTTGAAGTGATTTTAGCGTATGATTCCATCTGCATATACCTTGATCCTTCAAAGCTTCCACCACTGCAACACTGGCTGCTGCTGCCCATGCTCTACTTGTTGAACTCATCTTCTTGTGTATTAATAATTCTTCAAAGTGATTTTGTGGTTGTTTAGGTGGCTGAGAAAATCGATTACTTGTCTTGTGTTTTGGTTGGTGGAGCAAGAAGACTGAAGGAAATTGTTATATATAGGAAGATGGATGGAGATGTTAAAGGTTAATAGGCAAATGAAACGCCCAAAGAATAGAAAAATACCATGGGCTGTAAACCTACTTTCAACTGTTGGTGGTTTTCTATGCTATGGTTTTTGTGACTCAGATATTTATTTTTCGATCTTCCAATTTTTTTTAAGCTTATCTTATTTATATATTATATTTTCATTTATCCAATAATACATAAAGATGACACTTACAGTGACCTGTTGGCATTTATGACTTTTAATACTCTTTGCAAATTTTATGACTTTTAATACTCTTAATACTCTTTGCATTTACAGTGACCTGTTGGCATTTATGACTTACAGTGACCTGTTGGCATTTATGACTTTTAATACTCTTTTACATGACACTCCACGAAAGTAGTATTTTGACCTTAATACTCTTTGCAAATTTTATGACTTTTAAAAAAAAAGGTCATGTTATCTAATTTTTGGAAAATTTATGAGGCTTTAACGAATTTTTCTGGAGATTAAAAGAGTTTTTACCTGATTTTTTGAGACGTGTACGAGTTTTTATTGGATTTTTCAAAAATATATGTAAAACATTTATTTTTTTAATTGATATGAAATTATATAAATTTTCAGAAAATAATGATTTTATACCAAAATTTTGAAAACTTTGACATAAAATGATACCTTTTTACACCATTTTTCAAATATGCAGTATAAAATCATAATTTTCTAGAAAAAAATTGATTTTTTTACAGTTTTTTAAAATATGCCAGAAAACTACCGTCCTTACCGAATTATTTTGAAAAACCAAAGTGTTAAATTTTGTTTTTTTTGCTTATCGAAAATGAACTATAAAATTTTTCAAAAAATTTTGCAAAAATATCGAAGATATCAGATTTATCGAAAATTCTAGTACTCTAAATTCATTTTTTTTTTAAATGTTAGAAATGCATATCAGAGTTTTGGAATACACTACCAGATTTTTCAATTTATACCTTAAATTTCACTTGTTCTACCGAATTTTTTTGTTGTTGACAAGGGAAACATTAGTATTATTGAAATATGGGAGGGTGTATAACAGAGGGGGTGGCAAGAAGAAAGTTCAAAAAATCACAAGTTTAGTTTACTTAAAAGATTAACTCGAAAAATCTCAAAGACGATTTGTGCAAAGATAAATTATGGTGAAACGTGTATGTGATTTGGGTTTAAATGTTTGTATAGTGACCAATTGAATGCAAAAGATAAGCTTCAGATAAAGGTAATAAACGAAAAGTAAAATAAATGAAGTAAATGACATTTAATTTAAATGTTTTGAATACAAAATATTTGCATAAATTTTAAATGGTGGACGCAGACTCACATGTCTCACAAATTGTTTTGCTCTGTAACTTTGGTATTTGGTTCTATAGAGAATTGGTGAGAATATGTGACCCCCAATTATAATGCATGAGTCTGCATTATATAATATTTTAAAGAAGAACGTCGACAACGATTAAATCCTATAAATCTAACACGTATCCCACTATTTAGGCCTTCATGCTCTAACTTGCCTTCACCCATCTTATAGGATATAACTGATGAAAAACCAAACAAATATAGGGAAAATTATACTCTAATCGTTTCTCAAAGTGTTAACTGCCTTCATCGAAGGCGGATACATCTCCAAATCACATAGCCTTAAGACTTCAAAATATCCTAAGTCCTTGACAATTAAAAATGTAGACTTCGACTTTATGTTGAAGGGTTCTTATGTGATCCTTCAAGATTCTGAACATGTTTAGAAGAGAGAGTGATCATAATCTTGCGGATTTGTTCCTAAGATTCCTCCAAACCATTCTTGCCCTCAACTCCACTTACAACTTAGTTGAACCAACAGGTCAATGCAACCATTATGTCGAAGCTTTTGACTTAAGCTTTTAGACAATTAGTAATGTCAACGTAGCTTAGCCATTAATACGTTAACTTTTCGCTTAGCTAAAAATCTAAGGCTAACAGATGCCCCCCTCCCAAAAAAAAATGTCATTTTCGATCATATGTATCAAATGGAAGAAAAGGTGGCATTTTTTGTAACTGTTCGACACTATTTAGATTAGTTATGCATGACACATCAACTAGACATTTTTAGTCATCATGATTACTTTCCACCAAACTGTCATGTCACATATGTGCGTGCAGTTAATCATTATTGCTCCGATTTCAAAAGGGATTAGTAAGCTACTAAACAAAATGAAAATTAAGAGAATTATTTTATTTTTCCGATGTTTAAAATGCCATCTTTCAATTTGGACATGCCACTTGTCACAATTATTTTAGGGGCAAACTCAAAAATTTTCTTCCACTATAAATATCTCCTTGTTTCATTTTTCACTGTCTTCTTCTTTCCCTTCCAAATCCTAACTTCTTAGAACTTCCAAAATCCCTTCATTTTCATCTTGAGCAATTTTTAAAAAACAACATGGCTTTTTCGTCTTCGTCAAGACTTCATATTCCTCTTGCTTCTGATATTAGCATTCCTAGTGTTGTTGGTAAACATAGTTATGTCCTTGGCCACCAATTGAAGAGGAGAAAGCGATTATCTAGGCTTCTCGGGTACTTGTCCCTTTTTCCATTTCTGGTAATATTTATGCCTTCTTAGATCTTTTCGCCACTACCTCCAAAAAATATGAATAGTTAAGCCAGTTCTTCCCTTGTCACTGTAGCCACAAACCCAATAAATTTCAAGACAAAGCTTATGAATTAGGGTTCATCAGTTCTCAAAGACGTGTATTTCGTGCTTTTCATTCTTCAATAAACGAGGCCTATACTGCATGGCTAGATAAAATAGATAAAAAGAAAGCACAATTTTGGAAGGATAAAAAGATTTATGATTTGTTTCAGATATAAAAAATGGGTCTTACTTTCCATCCTAACATGCTCATCACAAACATTCTCTTATGGGAAGGTTCTACCAACACTTCCTAACTGCACTGCGGGATGGTGACTCCCACCTTGTTTGACATAGCTGTGATAATGGGTCTCTGCCCCACTGAGGAAATCTTCAACCCCACTCTAATAACTAACATCGAACCAGTCTTCGACTTTGACCGTACAACTTATAAACATTTTTTCAAAGATTTTCACGAGACTGACTCTGAAGACGTTTCCGACCAGAAGCATATTGCATTTTTAACCTACTAGCTATCTCGCTTCATTTTTTATTCCAACTCTTTGCAAGTGACAAAAAAATTCATAATTTTGACCACTCAACTTCACGAAGGGCGAAAGGAAAATCTCATCAAGATAATCATGGATTCTCTCTATGAAGCTTTTGGATTGGTTGCTTCTGAATTTAAGTTTATTGACGAACTAACATACAAGTTCCACATCAATGGCCCTATATGGCTTCTACAACTATGGCTTAATTAAACATTTGAATCCTTTCTAAAATTCAGCATCCCTTCTACCTTGGCACTATAAGTCGAAGGAAGGAAAGTTAAAACCACAAGGTAGGTCCTTATGGTCGTAGAGTATGATGTTTTTGAACTATCTATGGATCCATTTGCCAGTCAAAGTTATGGTTCTGACTGGTTTAAAATAGACTTTCCTCCTCTTTCTCTTGAGCACCATGTTGAGGCTCTTGACATATGATCAGCCTTCATCCAACAAATAGTTTTGTCTACTAAAATTCTAGTAGGAAACAAAGGTTTGGGTATCGTTGGCTATCAACCTAACTTGGTAGCCTGACAACTTGGTTTCTGCCAATTTTTGTCTAAGTCATTTTTCCTCCACAAGACAGAAGTCTTCTTAGCCACCATGCTTTACACGAATGACGAATACCAAGCTCAATTGGAAATTTTGACAATAGATACCACCATTATAACTCCCTTTAAGTTTCAAGTCAATTATCTTTGAACACCAGAATTCGAAGAATGATGGTCGAAATGTCACCTTGCTCATTTTACGACATCTCCAATTATTTTCCAGCTTTTGACAAATGCTTTTTAAAATGTGCATAATCAGTTCAAAAAGAACACAGGTACACATATCAAAGAAATTTAGGCTTTCCAACGTTACTTTGAGGTTGTTTATAATCCTTGTGATATTTTTCAAACTATCAATGACGCGACTCTAACTTTAAAACATAAAACTACTAAAAACCTCCCCACTTTGAAAAGTCCACCTTATGTAACCGATATGTATAAATTTACTCTAATGTCTTATTTTTCTAAGTTTCCCCCATTTTCGACCTGTGAACTTGGCTTGGCTTTTCTCCCAATGATAGGTCCGTAAGTGCACGAAAAGATCATAGTAATGAAAGATTGAACCCACAGAGACCAAGTTGTGAAGGCAAAGTATCTACCAACACAAGCGTGCCTCTGGTTTTTGATGATGACAACTTGCTAAGAGATATCCTTCTTTCGTTTAAATCATTCACGCTACTTATGATTCAATTTTTACAATGGCGTAATGCACAAAAAGCTGTAGAAATTTATGTTTTTGCAGATACACACAGTTTCATTCAGTTCACACGGGTCAGCGCATGGAACCATGCGTCGACCGCTGACTTGGCGCATGCAGGTTTAAGAATCACACGGCTCAGCGCATGAAGATCATGCGTCGACCGCTGACTCGGCGCATGACAGTTTGAGAATCACACGGCTCAGCGCACGCCGACCCTATGGTCGACCGTTCGCGCGCAGAAACAGAAATTCTGCTATGTTTCATTGATCTGTCAACTGTCTGTTTTGTATATTACTATAAATAGCTGTCTTTTCAATTTCAACGACTAACATTTTTTTACAAGAACACATTTTTGAAAGCATTGTGAGAAAGTGTTCAGGTCAAGAAACGTGAAAGAGGTGCATCAGTGTTCTTCATCTTCATCGTTCAATCAACTCACAAATCCTCAAATTACAGATA